TTTACTTGTGTGTATTTTAACTTTTTGTTTTGAAAATTTCCTACATGTTGTACTGACTTCTTATCACTACAATGCACTGTCCAAGGACTTATAAATGGGTTTATTTTGCTCACAGTTTTGGGAGGTCAGGTACCTAGCATTAGCCTCAGCCTAGTTCTGGTGAGGGCCATCTGTGCTTCGTCACATCATGGTAGATATCAAGAGAACTGTCACATGGCCACAGAGTAAGACAGGATGCAGAGAGATACTGCTTGAGGCCAGGCTCAGTGTTCTGTCAATGCCCCTAAGGTATCCTAAATCCCTTTCAAGGGTATTCCCATGGTCACTGGGGTCTTCTAGAGGACCAGTCTCAACACTTCCACACTTCCAAAGCATGGACCATTGGGAACCCAATCCTAGCCTAACCTTTGCACATTTCCAACTTGTATAGGAGAGTTTAATGAATCCTGTGTCTGCCCAATGGCCTCAGTGATTATGACTCTTGCTTGGGCTGTCCTTCTGCCTATTGTCCTCTGAGGTGCAGGCAGCCACAGAAGAAGGGATTGTGGTTCTCAATGCCAAGGATGCCAACGTTGAAAACAGACATGCTAGAATTGCATTTCTCTTAGAGTGTTGAGTTCCCAGTGTAGGGTGCTTCTTGTCCCTGTCAGGTGTCTTCTTAGATACTTAGTGGTTTATTGTCACTGTCAAGGGTAGTTTGAAATCTTGCCTTCTCTTGTATGTGTATATGTCTCTATGTGTGTCTGTATATCTGTATATATGTCTGTGTATGTATTTTTCTGTGTGCATGTGTGTGTGTGTGTGTGTGTGTGTGTGTGTGTATGTATGTATGTATGTCTCTGTGTATATAAATGTATTGTTTTCTGATTTGAAATTGTGTTTCTGTGTTTCCATTGTTTGGTGTGTTTTATGTTGGAAATTCTTTGTTCCCCCTGCCCTGCGTGGTTCTTTATTTTCATTAGGATGGACAGAACGCTGCTGCTGCAGCTGTCTTGTTTCTTGTTCATTTGTTAGAGAAACTCCTCTCCCCAACCAGCTGTTCCCTCCGTGTTCATATAGAATAGGCAGAATCAGTGCATACTTTCTCCCTCCCCTGTGTAAATTTGGTCAGTTTTCAAAACCCTGAGCTGGCTCCCCAGGGTCCTTTGTCATGTGAAGTGGTTCCCACATGATCGAGTGTTTGAACAGTTATCTCCAGCTGGTGGCATTGTTTTGGGAGGTTGCAGAATCTTTGGGACTAGGGCCTGCCGAAGCTTACACAGGTCATGAAGGAACAAGGCTGGCTCTGCCTCCTGATCTGCTGAGGTGTGAATAGGATGGGTTGAGCCCTCCCTCTCCAGGCTTCTCTGTGATGATGAATTGTGTCCTGTGAAACTGAGTCTGAATCAATCCTTTCTCCCTGGGTTGCTCCTAGTGGGTGTGTGGTCACAGTTGGTAAGCTCTTCTCCAATTAAAGTGTTGTTAGTTAGCTTGGTTTAAACTGGCTTGTTTCCACCCACTTTCCCCCTCAAGGATAATGGAATATTTTCTTCTTTGGATAACGGGAACCTCTCCAAGAGCATAATACTTTTCCCTGACACTTCCTTGCTCTGTGCTGGGACAGGGTACCTCAGGTTCTTCTTGCCCCTGTTCTGGAACCAGCAATTTCATGGAGAAGACACAGTGTTCTGCAGTATATTTAGGGAGGAGCTGAGTGTACATGATTGCTGGGCATACACCAAGCTGGGAAGTGAATACTGTTTCTAGACTTTGCAGGGGACAGAACTAGGAAATAAGTCTATTGCTAAGATTGAAAAATACACTGAATTTGCATGAACACTTGCAGTTTGTATTCTGAACTGGCTTAGTGGGTAAGAGCAATAGCTGCTTTCCCAAAGGAGCAGGGTTCAATTTCCAGCACCTACATGGTGACTCATAACCCATCCATAACTGCATTTCCAGGAGATTGAGTGTCCTCGTCTGGCCTTCTTGGGCATTGCATGCTTGTGGTTCATAGACACAATGCAAGCAGGCAAAACGTTCATATGCATAATAAAAAAAGAAAAAGGTTCTTAATTAGCATAAAGTCATGGGTTTTATGTACTTCTTTCTGTATCACAAAAGTATGTCCCAACTGCTGTAGAAAAATAGAACCTGTGTGTCCTGCAAGGATATGGCTCCTGGAAACAGCTTGAGGTTTGTGGGGTGGCATCCCTGGGGAGGGTGTTTCTGAGGACATTCCATAGCAGGAGTGTGCTGTTAGGTTAACACACTTTAAAGTCTGTTGGTTATGTCACCTGATCTGCTGCAGTGTGAAAGGGCTTGGTTTTACACAGAAGTTCCTTTACTTCCTTTTATAGTCTGTTATTCCTGTTAGGGGCTCCATAGTCTTGTCTATGAACAGTATGAATATAAGAGCAATCATCTTTGCCATCTTTTCCTCCACATTACCTTCTGGATACCATTTTCATCTTTATGTTATTTATATTATATTGTAAGTGTATATTTACATATATTTACATATATTTACATTGCCCGGGCTGGCTTCAGACTCGCAGTGTAGTTGAATGACTTTGAACTCCTGACCCTCTTGCCTCCCCTTCCAGGGGCAGAGTTTGCAGATGTCTTCCCTTATACCTATGGCCTTGATGGTGAACTCAGGGCCTCATGGGTACTAGACAAGCATTCTACCAATGTCCACAGTCTTAGATAACCCGTTTTTCAAACAAATGTTGGGGCTTTCCTGCCACTGTGGGGTCCTCATAAGTACTCTTGAGCCCTGTTTCCTTCGGCCTCGGCCCAGGGTTTTTGGTAGCCATCCTTATATCTGTGGAGACATTTTAAAATTCCCCAAGACATGTTTTGTGTAGAGATGTGTGGGCCAGAGTTAATTAAGATGAAATAAGTTAATATTGGATCACTTGAAGTATGTGAAGTTAAAAGGCTGAGTGGACCCAGCAAGTGAGTGTGGGTGGGCTGAGTCCTGCAGCTGACAGAACTGTGGAGAAAGGCTGCCAGGACAGCCGTAAGGGTCTGGTGTACTCATGCTGTGTGGTTGATGGGCAGGACCTCAGGGAGAGAAAATGCCTCTGCTGGAACTGTGTCAACATATTTTTTTCCATTTAAATGATAAGATGGTATGCAAAATAACAGGCAGGACTTGGTACCATGAATAATTAATTCCTGTGGTTCTCAGGAAGCTAATTTTAGCCAAGATTATGATGCAAAAGTAGCAGTGGATAGAGTGGCTGAACTGCAGGCAGGGGCCTGGAGTGGTCAGCACTGTGTTGAGAGCATCTGCTCTTAAGAGCAAGTTCCTCACCCCTCACCAGTTTCTGTCCTCCACTGCCTGCTGAGTAGGATACCAGGGTCATCTGTGGAATCCAGGAGCCTGGGCCACATCTGGGCTCTAAGTATGCTGTGGAATGAGAGTGAACAGCGTGTGTGTGGAGGGCAGTGTAGTCATGACACAGACCTCCCAGCTAAGCTTGAGGGTCTAAGTGCTGCTTTGCATTCTTCACAAGCAAGCTGACCTTCCTGTTTGTCGCAGCAGCTATAGGATGGGCAGAAGTACAGTGGAGATGGAAAAAAGTGTAGCAGGCCAGCATTCCAAATAAATTTAATCTTGGTCTCCCTGCACAGCACACCCTTCCACATTAGCCCAGGTGAGGAGAGAAGTGGATGTGCATGGATTCTGACCTTGGTTCTCCCTGTCTGTCTGTCTCATGTAGGAAATCCCCAGACAGAGGTGTGAATGTTCATATACACAGGGTCTCTCTCTCTCTCTCTCTCTCTCTCTCTCTCTCTCTCTCTCTCTCTCTCTCCTT